CTTCGGGTGAATCAGATGGTGGCGCCTGCTTCCTGGCCAGCACTGTTTACGTTCTGGTTCCCCCCCAGGTCCCCTCCAAATGTGTGTGCTTCTCTGCTTAAGGCTTCTGATGGCAGGTTTGCTATCCTCCCCTTGGCTTCATTTATGTCGCTTTTCAAATCAGCAACGACCTCTGGAGAAGCGAGATGGGGATCTGGTTAATTAACTCTGGCTTGTCTGGTTACCTGTTGAAAACTGTCTTCCTCTTCCAGGTTCCATGCTGAAACCCCAGCCCTTAGCACCATATACTATGACTTTCTGGAGACAGGGGCTACCAGAGGGGATCCAGTTAAGGTGAGGTCATCAGAGTGCCCCTAAGACAGGAGGACTGGTGTCCTTGTAAGAAGAGGGGATGAGGAAGGGAGACCAAGCAAAGACACAGCGGGAGGTCTAAAAGCCGAGGAAGCCAGCCGTGCCACATCCTCAGTGTGGATTTCCAGCCTCCAGAACCTCAAGAACATGAGTTTCTGTCACCTAAGCCTCCTGGTCTCTGAGACTTCATTACTGCAACTCTACCAAACCAAGAGGGTCTTCAATGCACTTGTGTCTGTTATGGGGGTACAAGCCCACAGATCTTAGAAGCCCAAAGGGCTCCTTTCTACTGCCCTGTAGTAAGATGCAGCACTTGTCTCCAGGGCCATGCCGTCTCTGGGTCTAGGACTTTGAAAGATGCTCTAAAGATAGGCTTTACTTACACGAGCATATGTGTAAGTGCGCACCAGCACTCTGCTCAGTGACATCTTGGTAGAGACCACGGTCAGTTCTGCAATGGACCTCAGTGCTGCCCTCATCCCTGAATACCGCCGAGCTCCACAACCCTTTGCTGTAGCAAGCCAAGCAGACAAGGGCTGACATCTGCCAGTTTCGTGTATCAGCGAAAGCCCAGAAACCAGTGCTGTCAGGCAAATGGAACTGGCCTGCAACTGCGCCCATCCTTAATTCAAACACTAAGACCCAGGGATGTTTCGGTGCCGTGACTTGGGGACTCCTGCTGCTGACCGGCTGTGGGCCTCTTCTGTGCAGATGGAATGATTATCACGCAGGTCACCATTAATAAGCGACGGCCAGGAAGCAGCAGGTGCCTAGGTGGCAGACAGCCCCTTCCCGACAGCTCCGCTCCTGCTGATGGGTTTTCAGAGCCCAGGAGCTCAGGAGCAGTCTGGAAAACGTGAAGCCACATTAAGGACTCGAGGCCACAGCACAAGGTTCTGCCCCTAGGCGACGAGCACGGGAAGAGCAGACCTCAGGGGACACGCAGCTCCCCGAGCGGGTCCTGGGCTCACAGGAGGATGAGCGGCTGCTGCTGCTGTCACTGTTCCCTTGTGCCCACGCCAGGCTGTGTGGTTAGTTCTGCAGGGCCAGGGGAGGGGCGAGGAGCTGGCATTCAGCTGCCATCTGGTTCCCTGCCACCCGCAATGTCCGGCTAACCAGAAAGGCGGATGCCCTGCAGCAGGGCAGGTGTGAACGCAGGGCTCCAAGGCAGGGCACAATGCAGTGGCTTTTCGGACCCTGCTGTTCACACAGCTGCAAGAGCAGGCTGCTGGATGCTCATGCCAGTTAGAGCTCCACACCTGGTGGACGCCCGGTGAGCTCAGGGCACTCTGTGCCACAGCCTGCCACACTGGTGCCCATTTGTCTAGCATTACCTCACAAAACCAGCTTTTGTAGGTTACGCTGTCAGCTAATGCAAGCACTGAGCTAGCGTTAGTTTCCTTGAGTTTCCAGACAAAAATCTTACAGCTTTTTCTTTCCTCCAGTGCTGGGGATTGAACCCAGGGCTTTGCAAATGCTAGGCAAGCACTCTACCTTGATCGGCACCTTCAGTTCTACCTTACAGTTTTGTGTGGCAAAAATCCAATGCAAGAGTTATACAGTGCGTTCTTTTGGATCAGTAAACGAGAAGGGATGCAATGATTTCCTGTAAATATACTTCCAGCATCCTCACTGGTTCCTGATAAAAGTCCGAGAGTTTCTCCTGCAGCTAGAAAACTAACAAGGGCCACCTACAGCACCTCCAGCTAATTAAAAGGCAGCACAGATACACAGGACTAGTGACTTCTGTTTCCATTTCTACAAATGCAGCATATAAAACATTTATATATCCCTTTAAAATAACCACAATTCATAATGCATCATGATACCAATTTTAACACAGGGTGGATATTCATCAGCTCAAACCCTCATGAAATGACTGAATTTTTCCTATCACGTAATAGACTTCAAATTTTTATTCTGTGTACAAAGCTGTTAAAGAAGACACTTTTATCACGTGACCTGGATGATTAAAATTGTTTTGTGGTTTCTCTGAAGGTTCAGCAGTGGTGGCCCCTTCCCCTTGGGAAGCTGATCCAAGCTCGGAATGCCTCCCTGCTTGGAGAGGCAAACAAACCTTTTCGAACTATACAGTTTAACAAAATGAACCCTAAAAAAGAAATCCCATGAACCAAGTCACATGACTGGAGTCTTAACAACTCTCTCTTTTAAAGTAATTATTGGTCTGGCAGTGCTCCTGATTCTCTCTGAATATCTAATCAGGTATTTTGATTGCTTTTCCAAAGCACATTACTTTTAACTGTGGAAATAATTTGGTAACTACCGTATGGGCACCGAGCGACCTGTGACTCACAAATTTGCCAAAAGACAAAAAGGCAGAATAAGGCTCAGGTTACTGAAACACTACCAGGTCCTTCCGGGCACAGGACCCTGAAACATTAATGACTTCATTTCTTCAGTCCTTTTCATCGCGTTTTGAATATTTTATGTGTGTCACACATCACTCTCTTTTGGAGAGCTCTATGCTGAAGCCAGTACAGAAGATACAAAGTAACTGAGCTGGTGTTTCAACAAAGTGCCCAGCTTTTGCCAGCATTTCAGATATTTAGTAGCGAGGTAGGAGGAGGTGGGTCCACTTAAGATTTTTTTTTATCAAATTAATACATGAAAGTGTCCATCACTGTTTTCAGTAACAAAGTCTCTACCTTGCCAAATGAATGCATGGCTTTTGATTTGGGAATATACACCCCAAGACCTGTTCGTTTTAATAGAAGTAAACAGGTGCCAAGGGGACTCTCACTATTTACGGCATTGATGTAAGAATGCAAACACATTATAGTTACTGAAAACATCTTTTTTTCAAAAACAACTTTCTCATTTTTCACTTGGCATATTTATTTCCCTGAATCTTCCAGAACAAATGACGTAATCTAAGATTTCTGGTAAATCTAAAATGCTATGATTCTGGGATTCTAGAAGGAAAAATTGCATTCTTCTTCCTTGACCTTTGCTGGGAAGACCAGGAGACAGGGACAGTCTACTCCGAAGAGTTCTCATTAACAACAATTTATGAAACAACCACGATACTTCGGGGACAGAGTCTTCCGCACTGTTTAACTAAGTCCTGTTTGAAAAATGGAACTGAGAGCCCTCCTGCCCCGGCCTGTATTCAGTCCCATGTGCCTTGCCCTGGAGCCAAAGTGCCAGGTGGGTGAGGAAGGGGCTGTTGACATGAGAGCCTTGCCCGCTGAGTCTTCCCTGAGCTGCCCCATCCGTCCTACTGCTGGCTCGAGAAACACGCAAAACCCGAAGCCTAGCAAGTGTGGGCTGGCAGGAATGAATGGCCTTCTCTGCTGGTGCGAGGAGGCCGCTGTTGGGAATCCCTGGACTCCACGTCCACCGAGATGGACAGAAGGAGCACCCTTTGATGAGTGTGGAGCCTCCTGCAGTGAGAGGGACTAACACAAGCAGGAGAGGAACTGATCGCCTCTCAGGAGCCGGCTGTGGAAAGACCAAACAGAGGTCACTGGACCTCCGGGTCTCTTAAAGAAAATAGGAGTTGTCCATACATCGTAAAGGCACTGGGACAGAAATGTAATCTCAGGAAGTAAGGTTTAATGTGCAGTCAGGAGAACACCGTGGAATTTGCACATGGTCATGAACACAAGGGAAGACAGAGTCACCGTGCCCCAGCCTGCAGCCAGGCAGGACTGTGTCTCCCAGGACGTGTCCACTCAGGCTCTCTGGACTCAGTCTTGGGGTTTCTTTCCCTCAGCTGCTCCCTGATGTGGCAGGTGAGAACCAACAGCGCTCAGCCTCCCTCTAGGTGTTTAGCTAAAATCTTTAGCACAGATAAGCACTCTGCCCCGGGGGAAGAGGGGACAAAAGGAAGAAACAAGGTCGGAAGAGACCAAGCCTTGGCATCCACCCAGGAGGTGACGGCCCAGGAGGGACAGGTGCTGGGGCAGGAGGGGAGGCCTGATCCCTTACACAGGGGCTCAGCCCACCCCTCCGCCTCTCTGGAGAGATTTCTCAAGAGCACCTGATGTTCACCTCACAGAAGAAGGGCAAGGGGACAGAGGGCGCACCGCAGCTGGCCCCAGAGGTCTGCAGAGGGAACCTGTGTGTGTGTGTGGGTGTGTGAATGTGAGTGTGAGTGGGTCTCACTAGGGTGGACACTTAGACCTTGGTCCACACAAAAAGTTCCCACCCTCACAGACCTCAGGGCTGGGAGTGGGCTGAGGACGCAGGGGCAGAGCAGGAGAAGAGGGACAAGCTGAGTGGGGGACTCTGGAGGGGCGGGGACGGGAAAGCTAGCGGGACCAGGGGTGCTCAGGGTGGAGGAGGTAGGGAAGAGAGGAGCCAGGGCAGAAAAGTGGGAGGAAGAGGATGCTGGGGAGAGGAGAGAAAGGGAAGGGGGAAATGAGGGAGAGAGAAAGAGAGCTGTACAGACAGACAGCAGGACAGACTGGGACGGATGCACTAGTGAGACCAGGGCCAGCACCAGAGCCAGGCTGGGATCCGGAGGACGATGAAGAATCAGGGGAGCGATAGGGCAAAGGGGCTGGCGCTCTAGCCAGAGGTCTGTGCCCCGCGGCCGCCCGCCCGCCCGCGCGTGCAGCCCAGACCCACGGAGGCCGGACAGGAAGGGCCGGCTGGGCTCTGCGCCCAGGCCCCGCGGTCCTTACCTGGCCCTTGACAAGGCTGGCGGCGAACTGGCGCATGACGGCCTCCACGGTGTAGGCGCTGGACCAGCCGCGCGGCGTGAGCAGCTCCATACAGATGGCGCCGCCGTCCAGCACGTAGCCATTCTCCAGGCGCGGGCTGAGCACCCGCATGAAGGGCGGCGAGAAGGGGAAGTTGTCGGGGAAGGTGAGGTTCAGCAGGATGAACTCGGTGTTGGTCTCCTTCATGTCCTGCCACAGCACGGAGTCCTTGTCCACCTGGTGCAGCTTCACGTTCCAGTCGAAGAGGCTCTCGTCCACCAGCTCCACGGAGATGAAGCGGTCGCTCAAGCGCGCGATGTCCTGCAGCTCCTTCATGAGACGCCGGCTGCGCACCTGCGTGCAGTGCTGCTGCCGAGCCGCGGGCACCAGGCTGCCGCCCGCCGTCGCCGTCGCCGCTGCGGCCACCGCGGGCCCGGGCCCCGCCCTGGCGCCCGCCGCCCGCTCCCGGGGGCCCCCTGCGCCCGAGGCCCCCACCGCGCCCGCGGCCCCCGGAGGCGGTGGCGGCGGCTGCTGCTTGTCGCGCGGGGCCAGCTCCGCTGCGCGCTTGCCCTTGCCCTTGCCGGGCCCGGGACTCGCGTCGCCCGCGCCCCCGGGGTGCGGCGCCTGCTTGTGGCCGCCGCTCTTGGCGCCGCCTTTGCCGCGCAACGACGCGCTCTGCGGGGCGCCGCCGCCGCGGTGGTTGTGGTGGTGCTTGGGGTCCTCGGTGTCCCGGTTGTGCAGGCGGATGAGCCCGATCTTGCGGAGCAGCGTGGCCATCTTAGGCGCGGGCCGGCGCGAGGCTGCCCCGGGCTCCCGTCCCCGTGGCGCGCGGGCCGGCGGCAGCGACCCGCGAGTCCTCAGCGCGCGCAGCGAGGGCCGCCCCCGGCGCCGGTGTCCGTGGCGCAGCGGCGCAGACGGCTCGGGCGCTGGCGGGGGGCGGCGTCGCCGCGGTCCCAGCACTGGCCGCGCCGGCAGGGAGACTGCGCGCGGTGGAGAGGCGGGCGCAGCCCCGGTCCTCGGTGTCCGCGATGCTTTGTGCACGGCCGCAGCGGGGTCGGGCCGGGACGCGCAGAGCCGGCGCCCGGAGCAGCGAGGGGCCGCGGGCTCGCGCGGTGCGCGCCTGCCGGGCCGGGCCGTGCCGTGCCGCCGGCTAGCGCGGGGCCCGGACCGCTGCCGCTCGCGTCGCCGCCGCTGCGCCTGCTGACATTGCAGAGGCGGCGGCTCCGTCTGAGCCGAGAGCGGCGCGGAGGGAGCGGCACGCGGGCCGCGAGGGGGAGGGGTGCGGGGCGGAGCTGCCGGCTGCCAGCGCCGAGCCGCCCCCGCTCCCGGCTCCCGCGGCGACCTGCGCTCGGCCGCTGGGGGGCGGCAGTGGCGCGCACCCGGCTGGCTTCGCTCAGAGGCTTGGTGGACAGAGGAGAGGAGGGGAGGGGAGGAAGGGCAAGGGAGGGAGAGAGTGGGCAAGGGCTGGGGCAGGATCCGCGTGGCGCGCTAATGGGAATCTGCGGGGTGCCGCATTCTTGCACCCCGGAGCCTGGCTCGTGTGGCCCCCAGTCCGAGTCTCAGACCCCATATAACCCATTTAGAACAATCCGGAGGGGGAAGGTGCACAGCGACCTGTTTATCGATTCCCTTGGATCCCTTTCGCCTGGGTCCCTGCGCAGCAGTTTGGTTGCTGGGGCACTTGGAAAAGGACCGATCCAAAAATCAGGGCTGGGCAAGAAACGCGGAGCCCCTCTTTCTCCACCCGAAAAAGGACTCTAGGGAGGCAAGAGGCTCCCCTGTACATCCTCCCAAGGCAGCACCGCGGAGTCCCGGAGGTCCGAGGAGGGGTCTCCGGGGCAGGGACTGCCGAGCAAGTCAGGGACTCATTTCCCAGTGGCCGCTGCAGAGAGGCGCATCCCTGGCCCAATTGGAAGGGGTTGGGGTGTGCCCAGCAGGGTCCCTGCAAGTGCAGCTCAGGTTCTTGGCTGATCTGCGGGCAGGAGAGGGGCTGGGTTCCATCTTCAGACCCTCAGCTCACTGAAACTCAGGTTTTTAATCTAGCGAAATTTCAAACAAAAACACTCTGGGAACCTCAGGAGCAGCGGTGGCACCCAAGAGCCCGTGCGTGTTCCGGTGTGTATGCGCGAAGCTCTGTGCGCCTTGCCCGCGTCACCCGAGGCTGGAGGGTGTAGCCCTGTGGCGCAGGAGTCTGGTGCCCATTGCTTTGGTGATCTGGCTTGAACTCCGGAATCCTCTTGTTTCTCTGCAGGGTGTGTTCATCCCGAGTGCCAACATGTTGTCTCTGGGTTCTTTTTACTTTCCTCGAATCATTAGACATTCGAATTGTGAAAAGTAAGTGCAGGGCACGCTGGAGACACAGGCCTGAGGTTCCATTTTTTGGGGATGCATAACAGGAGTCTGCGCTGAGTTTATGGAGCACGAGAGGGTGGGTGCCCACCTGGTGCAAAGGGAGCCTGCAGTACGCCTGTCATCCCAGCACAGGGCAGGCTGAGGCAGGAGGATCCTTTCCAGTACCAGGCTAGGGCTTCGTAGTGAGTTCAAGGCCAGCCTGGATTACATAATGAGACCCTGGCTCAAAGATAAAAACAAAGCAAAGCAAAGCAAAACAAAACAGAAAAAGAAATGCTCAAGAGGACAGGTGGCCCAGGACAACCAGGCTGCGGTGCAACAGATTAAAGGTCTGTTTGTCCTGCTCTCAGTTTGTTTTGCTCGTGGACTATTCTGTCCAGCTCTGTTTCTTGGTGAGATGGGGTGAGGATGATGCCCTGAGTTCACTTCTGTAAAGGGCGGACAGCGAAGGAGGAAGCAGATTCGGTGGAAACTCCCCCAGGTTTTTATCAGACCCATTATGTTGGTAAAGAAACCAAGCTTTGAAGAGGCCCAGCAGCTGGCCCGGTGCAGCCATGCACACCCACATTCATCAGTGACCCTGGGCCCCAGCACCTCTTCCTCCGATGCCCTCCTGGTTGCTTCTGAGTCTCAGGCCCAGGAAGAGAGAAAACCCTGCCCAGTGGGTGAGCACTGGGTTGGAGCCCACCGGGTGGACCAGGCCTCAGGGCCTCTGGGCAGCAGGGATGATGCAACAGGCCCTCTGGAACAGAAATGGTGCTGGGTGTGGCTTGGGACAGGTCAGCAGGGGCAGACAGCTGCCTCTGAGTGCTATATTTCTGTGTGAATCTCTTGTGTGTCCCCCAAAGGTTCTTGTGTAAATCATGAGGCTCCTACCATGGCGAAGTTACCAGGCCCCCCTGGTAGGAGCTCATGACTGTCCCCTCCCTCACCTCCAGCTTCTGTATTCTTTGTGATCTCTTCTTCCAGGTCCTCCCACCAGGAGGCTGCTTGTGAGGTGATGTAGCCTACAGGCCCCGATAGAGATGGTGCCAGGCCATTTGGACTTTCAGCTTCTCAAACTGAGCCAAATAAACCTCTTTTCTTCACAAGTCTCCAAGCCTTGTGTATTTTATTATTGCCACAGAACACAGACTAACACAGCAACCCAGGAACTTGTTCAAGAGTGAAAAGCTCATGGCTAATACTTTTGCTGGGCCAAGAGGTCCACTGAGGACTGACCTGAAGGGGACTGTGGCCGTCTCATGGCCTCTCTGTTTCCCCTATAGAATCGCAAATCAGCTTAAGAGGGAAAAGGCTAAGACAATTAGACCTAATCCACTTGAGAGTATGTTATACGGCAACAATAGAGGATTACATCGCAAAAATGGAAGTATCTGTGATCTATGTAATTTTAAGAGAAAATTCAAGAAATCAGATTCTCTACACTATAGCTCAGTTGTGCAGATTATGGAACACGTAGGAGAAAGGCCAGGGTGAGACTCTGAATTCTGTTGGAGCAGGGAAATATTCTCTGCTCTGCCCAGATATTTGCTTTAGTGACTAGATGGTAAGGCCAGGTAGGCCCAGGGCTCTGCATGGATTGCCACCTGGCCTCCTGCTCTAGAAGATTCCAGAAAGTCCTGTCTCTCCAGAAGAGTGAGCAGACCGTACCTATCCAGTCTGGCAGTGGGGCAGGGTACACTTTGTTATAGTTACTTGATTTTTCAAAAGTCTGGGAAAGAATGTGTTGTAGTCATAGTGAAAATGATTGTAACCAAATTTTAAAAAAAACATTGCATTAAGGTGAAATGTACAACACTGGGTGGGTTGAACAGAGGGCACTGTGCTAAATGAGATAATCTTCAAGGACAACTGGGGGTCTCAGCTAGGACGGGGTAGGGAAGACCAATGAGTAGGGCATTGCAGCCAGAGCCTGATCCCATCTGATAGGGGAGGAAGCCAGGGAGGGAAAGACAGGAAAAGGGACGAAGGAGGCTGGTCACCACCTAGGCAGCTTCTCCTGTGCTCGGTCAACCCATGGCCCCCGGGGCTGCCCTCTGCGGCCTGCCTCCGCAGACACAGCTCAGATTTGGCTGCTTATTCTTTGTCTCACTGGACTCCCTTCCGGGTCTTTGACACCTCCGATTCCCCCACAAAGCCCAATCTCATGAGGTCAGCAAGACCTGAACTGTACTGCCTCTGAGGCCCGGTGCAGGTGTGGACATGTCGTCCATTCTCCTGGACTAAGATGTCAGGGTGACTATGGATGCTGACAGCCATGCCCGATGCAGGGTCACAGGACCAAGTGCGCCATTCCCTCCTCTTCCACAGAGCCTGCGTCTGGGCCGCATTAGGCCACTGTGCCGCTTTGCATACTGTGGCCTGCTTTGCCTTTCTGTATCTACTGCTGCTCTAGAGATGGGAAACTGAGGCACGGAGGGACAGGAAGCTGGGCCTAATCACATGGCAAGCACTGGGCCGAGGCAGGGTGGCAGCCCACAGCTTTGGCCCCAGCGCGCGCCTGCATCCCTGGCTCCGTGAGTGAGGTGGGGTCCCAGGGCAGAAGTTTCCCCCTCCTCTAACTGCCCAGCTGACGGCTGCTGTGTAGCTGAGACGGTGAAGCACTTGGGGTTGGCAAGGAATTATCGCCATCCACGTCTCTCTTTAAAATGTACTTTCCAAAGGCGCAGGCAGACAAAGGTCACCCCAGGTACCCACGCTGGCTGCTCCTTCCACAGTGGCCAAGCGTGGTGGCTGGTGCTTGTTCTCCAGGGCTCTCTTCTCTGTGTGCACCTCTTTTTGGCCACCACGGTACCGCTCCTGGTGGGACCAAGAGGCCCCTGCTCTGCACTCACCTCTGTTGTCCCATTTCCCATGGGTGCTAGCTTGGTGACCCGGCTTGGTGTCAAGGTATTTCTCTTGTCCCCTCTGCCTCTGACCCCGCCCCTGGTTTGGAGCCCTGGGTGCCAGTCCAGTCAAGAACATGGGATACGTTAGGTGTTTCAACAGAAGAGGTTTAGTCCAGGGAATCAGTTCCTCCAATGCTGAGTGTTCCAGGACCCAAGGAGCAAGGAAACCCTGCCAGAGCCGGTGAAAAAGGAGATTTAGCTGCGAACTTCCCAAAGCAAAGGCCACGCCTGGTGTCACACGGGCACCGCTGCAGAGGGCTGGTGCCCTGGCTGCTAGGGCCCGCATGGCCACCCATCTCTGGCTGTGATGTTGCCAGCTCCTCTGTTGACCCCTGACCTCCAGCAGACAGGAGGTTGCATCGGGGGCGCGGGCTCTCCATGGGCCACCTTAGTGATGAAGTGACTTCTCACAGGTTCTCTTCTCAGCCTTTGGGCAAAGCAGCTGAGCGCAGGGCCTGGTGACTGGGAAGAGAGATTTTTCTCTGGCATTTGAAAGAGCTCTTGCATGAGGAGATGAGTCATGCGTTTCTTTCTGAAGAAGAAACCGCCTGGTCCTGAAGAGATTTCTAGAGATAATAATCTCATTTTTTCTGTCCTTTTCATCTTTGCTTGAGGCACAGACAGCTCCTTTCTGGTAGTGGGGAAGTATGAAGTGACAGCTGAGACTGGCAAGGTGGTGTCTCTATTCAACGTCCCTCAAACATCGAGGCTAAATATAGGCGGGCATAGTAGTGTGAGAAAGGGAACTGGGTTCCGTCCCCAGCCCGCGGAGGGGCGCGGAGGGAAGCAGTATAATTAGTGGAAATATTCTGTGTATATTCCGCATTTTCCAAACATCAGAGTGTGGTGGCGTCTTTGGAGTCTATTTTTGCTGTTTACCAGCAGAGCATGACAGCAAATGTCTTAGTGCTCCCCTGTCAGCTTTGAAAAAGGTAATTAAGTTCTCCAACTTTGGAACTCAGAAACAATATCCAATTTCAAACCATTTTAAGTGAAGGATTAACTCACACACAGTGAAGTGCCGAGACAAAATTTTTGGCTGTATTAGAGATCGAACCTATGGCACCAGCATTTCATTACAGCCCAGCTGCTTTTTGTGTTTATTTTGATACAAAGACTTGATAAATCAATACGTAGTACAGGGTGGACTCAAACTGTCAATCCTCCTGCCTCAGCCTCCTAACAGGGAGTGGCTGGGATAGCAGGTGTGAGCTACCATGCCTGGCTTGCACAGATCTTTACTTGGTGGGTTTTGAAAAATATGTGGGACCACGTGATCTACACCCCAGTCAGGCATCAAATACTGACATCATTCTAGAATGTTCTTTTTGGGAAAGCCTGCCTGGACTTCTCCACTGGAGGCAGGCCGTTTTGATTTCTGCCACCACAAATTCATTCTTCGGTTTTGTCTATATCGCACAAATGGAATAATACAGTATGTAGTTTTTAATATCTAGCTCCCATCAATTAATAGAAAATCCATATGTAGGTTCACGGTGAGCTTGGGTCATGTCGTGTGTGGGAAGTTTGTTTTGCACAGGTCAATAGCATTCTAGGTATGGACACACTACAGCCTGTTCATCTGTCACCTGTGAAGGACATGCAAGTTGCTCCCAGGTTTGCAGCCTGGTCACATACAAAGTCTTTTTGGGCGCATATTTTCACCTCTCAGAGAGAGTTACTGCTCTGTGAAAGGCTTGGTAAACATCCACTATCTTCTGCTAACTATAGCCCTGTGCATTCCCACCAACACAGCTGCTAAAAAACATGGAAGAAAACCATGTGAAGGCTGGAATCTGGGAGGAATCCTTTGAAGACCACAGCTTAGGTTCAGCTAAGTCAAAGAACAGAGCCAGCATCCACCACTGGAGTCCTCTGCGACTGATGCTGGGGCGATTCCAGAGAAATGGAAGATGAGAAATACAGAGCAGGCCTCCAGGCACCCCAAACATCCAGACATTCGCAGGCAGCAGGACCCCACCTGTGCATGAGGAAAATCAACCCTAAACACAGCCACAACACCGGAAGGAATGGGAGTTGGGGGGAAAATGGAGGATTTTAATATCCACAAGAGATATCTCCAGGAAAGCCATGAAGTAACATTCAGTCTGTTAACTGATAGTGCCTAATGTCTTTGGATACATTCTTACTGGGTGACTGACTGTGTGCCTAAGTGGATTAGCCCTGGAACGGATGCCTAAATAGAACAGTCTGGGTTCTAATCAGAGCCATCCCCACCCATAGTACTCTCCTCAGTGACCTGAGCAGTTTCCTGTGTGCAGACCCAGAAGGGAAGAGCAGAGCTCTGGGTCCTCACTGTGTTGATTCAGTTGCTCTTGACCTCTTTGATGGACACACCAGTGTCCACGGGGTCCTTCACAGGCACAGAGAGGGTGGGGAGGGCTAGCAACTAAATTTTAGCTTAGCTTAGATGAAGTGCTGTGTCTAGCTCTATGGTCATTTCCACAGTGGAGAGGTTTGTTGTGACTTTAGAACATAATAGTTTACCAAAGCTCAAGAATATTTATTTAACTGAATGAAATCTGGATACATAGGGGTGTGAGATGTTGGTGTGAATAGAGACCTCAAACATTTATTTTAGGAGCAAATGATGTTTTGGATTGCCTGCTTTGAATCTGAGCTGCCTCTGTACCCCTATTTAAGTTTTATGGTGTCCTTTATCTTGTTCAAAATGAAAATTTGAATCACAAACATTAATGCAGGAAATTCATGCATGGGATAAGGAGTCTCGCAACAGTGAGAGAGAGAGCGATCGTCCTCCAGAAGGGAACAAACCCCTGCCTATACATGCTCTCGGGGTCCCCCTGCCCCGGGGAAGCTGGCCTGGGTGGGTGTGGATGGACACAGCGTCACACCAGTCACTCCCGAAGCCAGCTCAGGAGCCATGAGCAAAGCCAGGACAGCCTGTTTGTCACTCTTGGTCCCCTGAGCAGTTTTCCATCTGATTACGGGCATCCCCCTGTCGAAGGTCCTGGTCCTGTGTGAGATGCAAAATTTAATTTCTGAGTCGCCGTCTACCTCTGTCCTCCTCTTAGCAGAATGGAGCACCTGAAACATCTATCCTGGTTAGAGGTGGGTGGTGGGTGGTGGGTGGTTGGACACCAGAGTAAATTGCTATTTATCCTTAAAAAAGTTAGAGTATCCTATTACTGTATTACCTCAGTTCACCAACACTTCCATTCCTGAG